CCACTTCCGTTGTTAGATTCGGCGTTCGCCCCCCTCCAATCTGCCACTATCTTTTCCAAACTAGATCTACGCAGTGCTTACCATCTGGTCCGCATTCGGGAGGGGGACGAATGGAAGACAGCATTCAAGACCCCTTTGGGGCATTTTGAGTATTTGGTCATGCCTTTTGGACTAACTAACGCACCCGCCGTGTTCCAGAGTCTCATTAATGACGTGTTAAGAGATTTCCTGAACGTGTTTTGTTTTGTTTACTTGGACGACATATTGATATTTTCTCGGACACTTCAAGAGCACCAACACCACGTCAGACTCGTCCTGCAGTGTCTCTTAGAGAACCGACTATTCGTCAAAGCCGAGAAGTGCGAGTTTCATGTCGAGTCTATTTCTTTCCTCGGTTTCGTTATAGAAAAGGGTCAGCTGAGAGCTGACTTCGCCAAGATTAAGGCAGTAGTACAGTGGCCTACACCCACCACTAGAAAACAGCTGCAACGTTTCTTGGGTTTCGCAAACTTCTATCGCCGGTTCATTCGAAATTACAGCCAGAGGGCCCTTCCTCTAACCCGGTTAACCTCAGTTAAGGTTCCCTTTAGGTGGGACTCAGACGCCGACAATGCGTTTTCGGAATTAAAGAAGGCCTTCACTAACCCTCCGGTTTTGCAACATCCGAACCCAGATCTGCCTTTTGTTGTAGAGGTAGACGCTTCGGATACAGGAGTGGGGGCAGTATTCAGTCCAGCCGAAGCCAACTATGACGTGGGAATTGGGGAACTCCTTGCTGTCGTTTTGGCTCTGCAGGAATGGCGGCATTGGCTCGTTCACTGTGTACACCGACCACAAGAACCTCGCATACATTCGCTCTGCCAAAAGACTAAATTCACGTCAAGCCCGGTGGGCGCTTCTCCTTACACGTTTCAACTTCACACTTACCAACTGTCCTGGCTCCAAGAACATAAGACTTGACGCTCTATCCCGTATCCATGACCCGCGGAGAGGAGCAGCGAACCACGGAGCATTCTTCCTGACCACTGCATTTTGGGGGCACTTAGGTGGGAGATCGAACGGAGGATCCAGGAGGCCCCAGGCGGAACCCAAGTCCCGGCTGGCTGTCCCGCAGGGAAGCTTTTTGTACCCCCACCTCTGCGCTCGGAGGTGTTGCAGTGGGGGCACTCGTCTAAGGTGGCTTGCCATCCTGGGGTGACCCGGACCTTTCAGCTCATCTCTCAGCGGTTTTGGTGGCAGGAGCTGCGGAAGGATCTTCGGGATTTTGTCAAGGGCTGCTCCACCTGCGCCTGCAGTAAGGCTTCTCACCAGCCTCCGGCGGGGTTACTTCAACCCCTACCAGTTCCACCTCGACCCTGGTCCCACATATCCATGGACTTTGTCACTGGCCTTCCTCCTTCCCGAGGAAAGACTGTCATACTCACCATTGTGGACCGCTTCTCGAAGTCCGCTCACTTTGTTCCGTTGTCCAAGTTGCCGTCAGCCCTGGAGACCGTGGACCTCCTCATCAGCCATGTCTTCCATGGGATCCCGGTGGACATTGTGTCTGACCGGGGTCCCCAATTTGTTTCGAGAGTGTGGAAGTGGTTCTGTCGTGCCATGGGAGCCACAGCCAGTCTGTCGTCGGGTTACCATCCGCCGTC